ACCGGACCCCCCACCGGGTAGGGGTGGACCGGTTCCGGTTTGGGCCCGGTTCGGGCCTGGGCCCGGCCGGGCCTCGGTTCAGAAAAGGGAGGCCCGAGCCCGAACCGGTGGTGGGCGGTTCCGGTTCCGGTTCCGGGCCAGAACCGGGCCGGGCCGGGCCGGGCCACCCGGAATGTTTTTTTTTTCTTCTTCTCTTATTTAACCCCCTACCCCTCCCCCTCCACCCCAAACCACCCCAAACCACCTCAAATGGCCCAAAATACCTAATCCAACCCAAAACTTAAAAAAAATTCAAAAAAAAAAAAAAATTAAATTCCGGCCCGAACTGGGCCCGGCCTGGCCGGGCCGGTTCACTAAACTGGAGGCCCGGGCCCGGACCGGTATACCACCGGGCCGGGAGGCCCAAACCGGAACCGAACCGGTTCACCGGGCCGGTCCGGTTTGCCCGGCCCGAGTCCATCCCTACCACCGGGCCTAGGCCCGACCCGGACCCGGACCCAAGAACCGGGCCGGTTCCGGGCCCGCACAGTGGCGGGCCGGGCCGGTCCCGGGCCGGGCGGCCCGAACCGGGTCCATGCCTAATGTGGGCAATCTGATTGAAAGTTCATAACCTTCTGTCAGTTCTGTGTAGACAAATAAACGCCCCCTTTCCCCTATGCCGTCTTGTACTCTCTAGAGCTTGAAAGTCGAAAGTACAATTGACGTATTGATGTCTCACGTGGCAAGCGTTTTCCACCTTGCATAATGACATGTTTATTTCACTGTTTACTAGACGCCTAAACGGTATTTAGTAAAACATGGGTTAGTAAGCTATCTCTTACTAAGAGATGCTTATTATTGTTATTAAGGATGTGCTTACCTTATTTGGCTTAAAATATGTGTTGTATACAAAATGTCAAGAATAGCCTCAAATCCTACATATGTCATCCATCGTTCTATCGCCAGAAGCAACCTAACCGTTTCTCATCTCCATTGATATATACATTGCTACTGTAGAAATTCTTATGTCTTTGCACAAGGAATCCCAGGGAGCAAAAACAAGGCCTTTATTGCTCTTCCACCTCTTTGAAGAAGGGCGGCAGAAATTGGAGACATTGGACAAGTTCGTTGGTCTTAGATAGGCCTGGACTCGGGCCGGGCGGCCCGACCCGGAACCCGCCCGGTCCACCGGCGGTTCGGGTCGAACCGGCCCGGTGGTTCCCGGTTCCGGGCCCGGGCCTTCCATATGGTGAACCGGCCCGGCCGGTTTGGGCCCGGTCCGGGCCGGATTTTTTTTTTTTTTTGAATTTTTTTTTAAGTCTGGGGTTGGAATAGGTATTTTGGGCCATTTGAGGTGGTTTGGGGTGGTTTGGGCTTGAGGGGGAGGGGTAGGGGATTAAATAGGAGAACAAAAAAAAATGGGCCGGTTTGGCCCGGCCCGGCCCGGTTTGGCCCGGAACCGGAACCGGCCACCGGCGGTTCGGGCTCGGGCCTCCCCTTTCCTAGCCCGAGGCCCGGCCGGGCCCAGGCCTGAACCGGGCCCGAACCGGCCCGAGTCCAGCCCTAGTCTTAGACAACTTGTACCCAAGTAAGGAGAGTTTTCTTGTGTCAAAGAAATTTTGGAGGAGAACGAAGGTCGGCAGAGACGTAGAAATCAGTAGGCTAATTTGCAAGGCTACGAAATAAGGACAGGACTACAGGAGGGTCAAAATAAAACTGCTTAAGTCGCCGGTTAATAAAACATGGGGGGTGGAGGTGTTTAACAAAAGACGATTAATTGGCCTAATTGGTTAGTAAGCGCATTTACCCAGTCAAGAACGTTTACTTTAGGCTTCTTAATAACCTAACAGTGAACTAAACGGCACAGTAAACACGTCCTAAGTGTTTATACTTTATACAATTGAAATATCAATGGACAAATAGTCTCTATGCCACTATGCCCTCTCATGGAGAAATTTTAACATCAACTCAAACTGCTCCAGATATTCAAAAAAAGACACATGAAGGTAAATATATGATGGTTTTTTGGAGGCGTTTCCTGTTTATTACTAGTAGTTTTTAAGAAAATTTCCGATTCAATTCTTACTTAGTTATTGGTGTTTTTTAAGTTTTAATGGTCAGTTTACCTTGCTTTGAGTGCTCAAAAGTGTTCCGACCACATTTTGTGTATTATTTTTATTAATATTTGTGGAGGTAAAGATACTAGATTTTAATTTACACTTTTGGGATTTCTAATTCGGTACAAGCTAGGGGTGGGCACGGTTCGGGTCGGTCCGAGTAATTGATATATTTAATGGATAGGTTCAGTCCGGGTATACCAAGTCTCAAACTAGGAACTTGACCTTACCCGCCCCGTTTGACACGGGCCGGTTTAGTCCGAGTTCTTGGTTCTTTTTTTGTAAAAAAAAAATACAGCTGTACTAGCAAAGTTTATAGTTAGGTATAAAATTTTCTTAGCTAACTAAGTATTAATGTAACCATAATATAGTAAAACTTCAAAACAAAAATATAAAAAAAACATTTTCAATTAGTTAATAGAATATTTGACCATAAATCTATAAATTAAATAGAACAAAACAACCTAAGTTAAAAAATGTTAATCATCATTCATAAATTAAAAAATAGCACTACAAAGCCATAAGAAATTAAACTAGTTACTCTACATATTTGTCTATGAAAACAATTTAAAGCTTATTAAATTTCAAAGTATAAGAAAAATTAAGATTAGGTCGGCACTACCCAATAAGCCCTCGAACTTACATAAAAAGTGCAAATCACCCCGTATATAGGAGGTTATGTCCGGCCGTCGCCATTTGGGGCGGTTCCCAGTGGAATTTTTTGATGAAATTTTTTGAACAGTTTATTTATTGAGTCTAGTTTACTCATATCAAATTTCAGCTAAAAATTCAACTAGGAAAGCAATCAAAAGAATTTTTGAAAATAACCACGCAGTTAAACAGCGCAGTATATTTTAGAAAATCATTTGACTATTTTCGGATTTAAATGAAATTGATGTTCAAAAATATGACATATGCCATCTTATACAAAGTGATTACAATAGTAAAGTTTAATAATGGTTATCTTTAAGAAAAATTAATGGTAATTTTTCCCTATAAGAAATACGAAATCATGAAGTTATGCATATAATAACTTTGTTAAATTTATGTCCATAAACCTTATTTAAGTAATTTTCTAGAGGAAAAATATTATTCTCAAATTTCTAAAATTTCATATTTACTCACATTTGGAAAAACATCCCATGTAAATTACGATTATGGCCATTGGCGGAGGGAGGGGTCTTGGGCCCATGACACTTATTGACACTCTTTTTCGTAAGATATATTCCGTTCTAAAAAAATTATATTTAGCGGGACAATTTTTTATTTGAACTTTCGCCCAGGTTTGTAAACGAACCGAGTCAAATAATGAGATTTTGTATTTGTATTTGTTTAAATTTTTCGAATACGAATTCGAATTCAAATATGAAACAAATATTAATTTTGATTTGTATTTGCATTTGTTTAACAATATGAATAATTAACGAATCATATACGAATATCGAACCAATTTGAACATAAGTTAAATATTAGTCAAATATCACTTTAAAATAACTTTTTGCATACTCCGTATTTTTTATGTTGTAAATACATGCTATGACTTAATATGTGCTTCTAGAATTTAAATTTGATGGATCAATTCATTCTTATATGGTGCACAATATATTAAACTGAATTAATTTTATGATTAATAAATATAAATCTATTTCAAACCTTTTGAAATAAACACTAACACACACACACTTATGAGAACTCATACTATAATGTGTGAAATAAGTTGATAATTGTATATCTCAAAGTCAAACAACTCTAATTTTATTCTTCAAATCGAATATATAATTATTTTTATTGTATTTGAAAGACATTTGAACCAAAAAATTGATTTGTATTCATATTTATATTCTGGTTTATTACAAATTGGCGTGGAATCTGTATGCAAATATGTATGTATGGGCTACACGTTCAGAGTATTGTTATCTTTTAAAAGTTATTATAGTGTTATTAATATTATTATTAATATTGATATTAATATTACTATTATTATTAATCGAATATATTTGATTAATATTCGAATCGAATACACTGATGTTCTTATTTGTATTTGATAACAACTTGAATCAAATTTAATATTCTTATTTGTATTTGTATTTGAATTTTCGGAAGTCGAATCGTCTTATACGAATTCGAATCGCGAATCAAGCACAAATTATTTGATTCGTTTACAACCCTACTTTCGCCCCAATCACGTCCCTAACTGTCTTAATTAATTTGACTTTTTTTAATCAATGATAATTAGATTTCGATATTGATTTCACTTAAACATTTATGTAAAATTAATAATTTTATTATATTCTGAGAAATACTATAGATATTCTCATATTTTTCATATTTTAAATAATTCCATATGAGAACATATTATTTGTCAAAAATTGACTATCCTTCAATTACAGTGGCGGAGCCAGAAATATAAGATTAAGGGAACCGGTCATTAAGAGCCCGTTTGGTAGCATCAAAATCGGCTGTTTTGGCTGATTCTGCTGAAATTTATGATATTCTGGATGGAGTGGCTGTTTTGGCTGATTCTGCTGATTTAAGGAAAAAATATTTTAAAAATATATTTTATTAATAAATTAAAGAAAAAATTATATGTAAAAATAGCTAAAATGGTCCTCTACAGTAACTTCAGCCAATACAGCCAGAAAAGTAACTCCAACCTTACTTTTTCGGCTTATTACACAATTCAGTGCGCGAAAGTAAAAGTTACGTGTTTGGTGAAAAAGCTGGTTGATAAGCCTGATAAGCCGAAAACAGAATTCTCCAAACGGGCTCTAAAATTTTTACATTGCATGGATCAAAATTTAAAATATCAATATACTTAATTCTTTTTGCTGGAGCCTAGACCCCTCCAGCCTCTCCCTGTCTCCACCCATGCTTCAATAAGATTGGGATGGGATGGGATGGGGAGACGAATTCTTAACGTGGCTTGAACCGGTGAACCAATGGAAATGGGTGCCCTAAAATCGTCGGCGTTGATCGTGGCGGAAAATTGGATGTATTTTCCGAGTTAAATATTTTAGGCGGCTGACCTGGAAGATAAGCTGATGGCTATACGTCCACATAATAATCCCCCAAGCATAAAAGCAATCGTCAAATCCCAATCTCCTCTCCTCCTCTCCATCTATGGAGAAAATGGCAATTATGCTCAGTCCAGTAGTTGTGTTACCGGCGAATGTAAAGCCATCTGTCTCAGCGTTCGCCTCTTTTCCGGGCGTCTTCAAATCTTCAGGCCAGAACCAGCTCCTTAGAAACACCAAAAGCTTGGTAGTAAGGGCCTCTGCGGTCGCAGTTGAGCAGCAGGCCCAGAAGGCGAAGGTTGCCATCGTCAGAATTGGAACTAGGGGAAGGTACTGTTTATTCTTTGCCTGACTGGATATTATATGTGTCTGCTTCACTGCTTGGTTTTTGTAGCGCAGCATGAAATATATTGATCTTCTGGGTTGTGGAATTGGTTGCTCTTGAGCCTTACGCTTGAAACGTGATATGTATATCAAAGATATAACCTTTACTGTCTTGTTTAGTTCTGATCTTCCTAGAATAGCTATACTTTTTCTCCCAGTATTGTGTAGAAGCTGAGTGTTGGATTTTAAATCCCCTGAACTAGCATAAAACCACAACTCTAATCGTATTTAGATACAAGGATATCATAAAACTCTAACATAAAAGGCTAAAGCTAAGTAAATATATTTTAGATATTAGTTGATACACATAGTATGTATTTATCTATATCTATCTTGCAAATACCTATAAATCTAAATATGTGCAAAATAAAATAAGTAAATCTAATCACATTTCATTCTCCTTTTTATTTCTCAGGGAAAACCCAAATGAGGAAATAACATTCCTTAACTTCATCTTGTTTATTTTCACTGACATTTTGTGGGATCCGAACATACCCTGCTGTTATAAATCGTAATGTCAATGATTGGCTTTCCTATTTTAGTTTCTGGTATTTTACAACCTGCTGGTTGTTTAGTTGGGCGTTTCTTAGTTTCTGGTATTTCACATCCTTGTGGTTGTTTAGTTGGGTATTGCTCTTTTGATATCCGGGATCGAGTTTTGGAATTTGATTTTTTCATATTCTGCTGCTTTTACCTCAGGCACTTAGAAACATGTCAATTCATTCTGTTTTAAGATGTTGAAAATAGTCCATCCCCATTGGAAGGGGAAGAACTATTGTGATCTTGATTCTGTTCTTACAGGCAAGGGTTTTGCTTATTTCTGCTTTAAACACAACTGGCCTGAATAAGAAAAATGGTGGAAAGAACTGATGCCCTTGCCTGTGTAAAAACCAATGTATTCTCCAAACTTATTGCTCTAATTCTCTCTTCGGTTGGGGAATTTTGGAGGCAAGTGTGATGCTTATTTTATTAATTTATAGTTAGATTTAGATGATGAGAGTGAAACTGAAGATCTCAAGTCATACAGAAATATATTATTTAAATCTAAGCATGTACCCCCTGCCACCCTATAAAGTCTGGTTTGAAGAACTTTTTTCCCAATAAATGGTTGATTCTAAAAGTCAAATTTATGTTCAAGTCATTATCTGTAAAGTCAAGCAGCAAGTGGTTTTTGTCAACTACTTCAGATAATTTTAGAAATCAGTTTAGGGTATGAGTGACTTGATAACTTGTAAAAACCTTGATATGATAAAAAATAAAAGTCGTACATTATTCAAATATGACTCATTTTTGGGGACGGAAGTAGTTAATTTCTAGTCTTAGACTAACAAGTAGAGATTAATAATTACTTCGTATTAATTAGTAGAGCAATTATCAATCTTCTCCTCTAAAATCTCCCAATGTAACAATCCGTTTAGGACTTAGGTACCAACCGGTGTTTCTTACTGCTTCTCTGCTTCATCAGTTGTGTGACATGGACACGAACAAGAGTGTTTTTAATCTCTCTGTTCTTACATTTCATGTGAATGTGTTTCTTTGTAGGACAGTCCACTCGCCCTTGCTCAAGCCTACGAGACACGAGATAAACTAATGGCTTCACATCCCGAGCTGTCCGAAGAGGGTGCCGTTGATATCATAATTATAAAAACCACTGGTGATAAAATATTGAATCAGCCACTTGCAGATATTGGTGGAAAAGGACTGTTCACAAAAGAGATAGATGAGGCCCTTATTAATGCAGAAATTGATATTGCAGTTCATTCAATGAAAGATGTTCCAACATATCTTCCTGATAAGACAATTGTGCCCTGCAACCTTCCTCGTGAGGATGTTCGGGATGCATTTATTTCTCTAACTTCTGCTTCACTGGCAGAACTTCCTGCAGGAAGTACTATTGGGACTGCTTCATTAAGGAGGAAGTCTCAGATACTTCACTGTTATCCCTCACTCAAGGTGAGTCCAATCCTGCCCCTTATTGACTGCTCTCTTTGGTTTGTAGGAGAGACTGAGAAGAGGGAGTGTGGGAGAAACAAAGACATGAGTGAAAAGTGGGTTTTATGTATTGTTCCTTTGGTATGAGAGAAATAAAAGAGAAAGAGAAAGCAAAGAAGTGAGTGTTTTTTTATGAAAACACAAAAATGATATGCTGGAGGGAAGGGTACAATTGAAAACACGAAGGGGAAAAAGGTGCATCTAAGCTCTCTCATTATAGAGAAACCAGAAAATGGGATGGCACACATACATATATTTCTCTTTCCTCTCAAACTCTCTCCTAACCAAACAACTTATATTCTCTCTATCTTAAAAGTCAAGAGTAATTCGCTAAAGATTTTTTTTCTCTTAGCCATTTGCACATTCTTTCTGCAGGTGCTTGAAAACTTCAGAGGCAATGTTCAGACACGGCTAAGGAAATTGAATGATGGGGTAGTTCAGGCAACATTGTTGGCACTAGCAGGGCTGAAGCGCCTCAATATGACCGAAAATGTCACTTCCCTTCTCCCTATAGAGCACATGCTTCCAGCTGTCGCTCAGGGAGCAATAGGAATTGCCTGTAGAAGTGATGACGAGAGAATGGTATATGTGCCTCTATGCAATATTGTTAGAAGTCAATTCAATGAAATACTTCCATTGCAGCATACAGCTCTATGTTTTTATATTATTGAGTTATTGGTATTATTTCAAAATGCAGGCTAGTTACATCGCTTCTTTAAATCACGAGGATACCCGACTTGCAGTTGCTTGTGAGAGGGCTTTTCTGAAGGCATTAGATGGATCTTGTCGGACTCCAATCGCTGGGTACGCCCATCGTGGGGAGGATGGAGATTGCATTTTCAAGGGTTTGGTGGCCTCCCCAGATGGAACTCGAGGTAAATGCAATTCCCGCTTGACCCCCCCCCCCCCCCTCCCAACACACTACACAGTCGTCCTCCAATGCGGGCGCCCACATAAAAAATAATAGACACGAGCACATGTATCATCTAGGGGTGGACGCAGTCCCAGATTTACAACTAAAACGGATCAGAACTGGCCCAAACTGATTCCGGTTCATCCGAATAAGACCGGACCTGCTCTGTTCATTTGGAAACGGGGTAGAGAACCAGGCCACCAGCCGGCCTGAAACCAGAAGTGGACCGGGTACATCCCTAGTATCATCCAGCCACCAGCCATTATGGTCATTCCAATGTCGGATAACAAAACAAGAATACTGGCATTGGAAGACCATCAATACACACAATTCTTTGCAAGCACCTGTTTCTTTTAGTGTGTGTACATTGAAATTGAAGTTAACATCCTTTTATTTATTTTTGTTCAAGTACTTCAAACATCAAGAAAAGGGCCATACACCTTTAATGAGATGGTTGAGATGGGTGAGGACGCTGGGAAAGAACTCCTGTCACAGGCTGGGCCAGGGTTTTTCGGCAACTAAGTTATTGGGGAGTCGGATATAAGATGTGATGGGGAATGAGATATAAGATGTGAAGGAGGAGAGCTTGAGGTTTCCGTACCAGTCATGATAATTGCTAGCCATCATCATGCCTTAATTTCACTGAAGGTGTAACCTGGCAGGACGTATGCTCAGATATAGGAATGGTCTCCCCAGTTAACCCATAGACTGCACGATTCACAAACGGTTTAGTTAATGTATGATATGTTAGGTTAAAACTGAATATGAATTTTTTTTGTCATTCGTGTATCAATCTCCTCTTTATTTTTTGATCCCACTTTGTTTCATTGGGTGTCCGCGACTTTTAGACACTACCCTTCTAAGTATTGAGCCTTTACATGGAATGAGTTTTTACGTGTTCTGTAGCACTTCCAATAATGGAAAATGCTACAAGCATAAAAAAGAAAATTGGGAAAAAAATGTTTATGTCACCGCATCAGTTGTGGAGGGGCAAAACATTTTTTTAGAGAATATTACTCGAAAGTCGTAACAGGACTAAAAGGTTTGAAAATTTCAAAATAGGACTACCATGTTTTTATTCCCAAAATAGGACTAATTATTGTCATGTTTTTGCAGTATCACACTTCAAACATGGCAATATTTTCCAAACTTGGCAGTAATTACTCCCATTTTATGAATAAAAAAAATGTTGGTCCTATTTTGGAATTTTCAAACTGTTATAGTCTTATTCCGGGAACTTTCCTTTTTTTTTATTTAAATATTTGAAGATGTAGAAAAACAACTTAAACCGAGTGTTTTGTTCATTTATTGACTTTAATCCCGTTGCTATTTATTAGGTATATTAGAAGACCATTTAATAATGTGACATTTGTCACAATTTTTTTAGACTAAAAAGACTTGCATTGGGGATGCTCTAATAATGTAAAAATAGATGTATATGAGTGTGTGTGTTAAAATTTATACGGAGTATATGTATGTGCACACCCAATTCAAAACTTATAAAATAAATTTAAATCTTGAAAATTGATGTCTAAGATTCGCACTGACTGTGTCCCTGTAGTTGTGAATTTAATCGTACTACGTGTTATTCTTCTTTATTTTCTGATTTAATGTGAAGTTCAGCTTTGTTTATTTTCTCATTTGCTTCTCGTTTATGCATGTTCTCCACATAAAATGCCCAGGCAGCGTCTTATATTCTAGTTTTCGATCACATTGTGTGTTTTGATGATGTATGAGGTTTTTTAAGAGAAAAAATAATGTGAGAAAAGCATTTTGTTTATTGCTTAATTAGATCGATTATTTTTACTCGATTATTAAAAATAAACAAAGCTCCAAAGCGTAAAAATAATGTGAGACAAGCGAAGGCATTAGTACACATGTTAATGTTAATTTACTCGATTGTTTTTACACTTTGATCGATGAACTGTTGAACACCATACATATATGTAGGGGGTGGTTCGGTACGGTATACCTTATACTTTTTCTCATACCTTTGCCGTACCAAAACTTTCGGTATGCAAAATTTGCATACCTTTACCTTACCGAAGTTTCGGTTCAGTAACGGTACGGTATCGGTAAATTACCGTGCATGTCTCCCAATACAAAAAAATTATCATAGACTAACGAAATATACTAATATAAATCGTTATTACTAGCGACATATTAAATCTATTATTAAAATGTTACGAAATACAATTAATAATCTATTGATGTCAATTCAATATTGAACAATAATTATTATTAGTATATTTAAGCAGTTCAACATGCCACATATTAAAAAGTAACACACTCTCCTAAAATAACTTGAACAATATAGATTTAATTAAATCAATAGTGATCTCTCACAAAAATAAATAAAACTATTCAAACAACACAGATATAAAATCATTTATTCCTAATATGATATTGTGTATTTAATCATTTTTATAATTTTTTAAAAATTGAATAAGACTTTCAGACGAAGTTGTATGTCTCGACTCGCGGAATCCCTGTAGATACACTTGTCACATAAATGTATCTCTCTTTACTCGTCAGCTACTTAACGGCCCAGCCATCACGACTTGCAAGCTCTTGGAACAAGATGGACTTGTTTCTTGACATTTGTACATTACTCATTAAGGTTAGCGTAGTTGAAGCCTATAAGGTTATAGTGGGTTTGAGAATTTGGACCTTTATTTTTGTATTTGTAATCAACTTAAGTATTAATTTTGGGCTTTAAAATTGTAATGGATTTCTACAATATATTAGAATTAAAAGTAATTGTTGAGTAGGGAGTCGGTACGGTATAATACCGGTATATCGCGGTATTTGAAAACATTTACCGTTACCGTACCGAAATAGATCGGGACGGTATGATACCGTACCGAAAATGACGGTATGCCAATATTTTGGTATTTTCCGGTATTTTTCGATACGGTAAGTGCGACATACCGATATTCGGTATTTTTGCCCACCCCTACATATATGTACTTTGACACAGGGAAAGCTAAGCTTGAGGCGAATCAGGACATCACGTATAAGTACCTACACTTTTGTAGTTTTCTTGGTCACGGATTAATTATGGTAAATTTTAAAAACATGATGCCAATAGGCTGTATAGCCAAATAATTCCAAAAGGTCAACAGTTTATATAGTACTCCGTCGATTTTAATGCATTTGTATTTACAGGTGTCACAACTGAAAAACGTGACACTCCATATACTCCCTCTATCCCTAAAAGAAGTTCTATTTCACTATTCAATTTCACGCTTTGTAGCGGGTTTAATGTAGTTTCTGAATATGTAATTTTTTTTTTACTAAAAATAATCCGAGTTTTCACAGGGATCATTTAACTTTATCGTCAGTCAAGCTTCGTAATCCACAATTGGAACACCATTTAGGGACGGAGGGAGTATACAAGCATGAAAAGAAGAGAAGACGATGATAAAGTAAACTAAAAAGAACAAATGGAATCAGTTTCTCAGCCAGTCAGCCGGCTAAAAAAGGTTTATGGCATGGATACGTATCAAATTCATCGAGCTATGAGATTGCAACGATTTATTATGCAAGTTGGGAATTGTATGAAAATGTAGTTATTGCTCTTTCAATGATCATATTTTTGTCAACTGATTGACGTTATTAAAATTTAAGTTATAATCTGAGCAGTCAACGGATGTTATCCTTAAGAGCATCTCCAATGCTATAATGTCCACGTTGCATATGTGGCATGAGTGATAACCACATAACTATTAGCAAATGAATTATTTATCTCCTTATTTGAATGACTTTATACAATTTTGGTAAGTTTTTCCCTGCAATGTCAACAACAATGTCAACATCTAGACGGTCTCCTTGACAGTGTGGAGAAAAACTTACCAAAAATGTATAAAATCATCCAAATAAGGAGAGAAAGAATTTATTTACTAATATTTATGTGGCTATTTCTCATGCCACGTGTGCACCGTGCACATTTTACCATTAGAGATGCTCTAAGTATCACATACCTTTGCGTATAAAAATACAAATCAACCAATTGTAACTAATCAACTGTACTTTTAGAATGAAACTTCAAGTATTAATATTAATATGATATATACTGCGTAGTAAATTAAACTCCCAACAATCGATTAAATCCTAGCAAGCCTTCGTACTATGTAATATGGTTACTCATCTTAATATGGTTACCAAAAAAAAGTAATTTCTTTTTTATTTTTAATGCATTTTTTATACAAATAAAATTGCAATTTCAAAACCTTAAAAAGAAAAACTACGTAATATATTTATATATTTATTTAAGAATGAACATCATGCCAGATTATAATATAGATGTACAATAAAAAATAAAAATATCATTATATATTTTTATAAGATCAAAATATACATTGAAATATTATGAGAGTGTATTAAATGCTTAATAAGTAGTATTGTTCGTTGATTATTAATAATAATAACTAATTTTTTTATTATAATTTTATATATAATTATATGTTTACTATTACTAGTATTATATAGACGTATAATCATTGACCGGTTTTCCGGCGTTGACCAGGTTGACCCACTGGGTCCGGGTTGACCCGTGACCCAGTCATGTGGCCGGGTCACTCTCCGGTCCGGTTTTTACAATATAGTTATTTTCATGCAGACAGCAGACTTGGATGCTCTCTGCGGATCGTTATTTATGGCATTTATGCTTCCCTAAAAAAGATCGTTATTTATGCTTATTTGAATGTTTATTACGGAGTAGTTGACTAAATCTAGGGCTGGGGAAAAATACCGAAATTTCGGTATACCGGCCATACCATACCGAAAAATACCGATTTTACCGAAATTTTCGGTATACCGAAAAGTTCGGTACGGTATGATACCATACCGGGTCACTTCGGTACGGTAAAGGTATGCACTTTTAAAAAAAATCGGTATTTCGGTATATACCGAAATACCGTTAATTTTCGGTATGATACGGTATACCGACATACCGAAATACCGAAATAGAATTTGTAAATAATTAGGCCCAAATCCATACTATGAATTAGTTAAATAAGGCCCAAAAGTGGAGACCTTCTCCAGTTCTCCCAAGTGGAGACCTAAAGCCCCAATCCAGTAACATCAACGTAGAGTCAATTAGCTTCTCTTCTCCGATTCTCCCAAGTGACGAGTGAACCAGTGACGGAGCAGCGGAGCTGCAGAGTATTGAGCGCATTAAAGACGAAGCTGCAGACGAGTGACGGAGCACTCAAAAACGGCAGAATACTTCGATTTAGAGCTGCGGACGAGTGACGAAGACGCCATTGAAGAAGCACGGAGCAGCGCAGACGAACTTAATCATTTGCTAAAGCTTCTCAATCCTGGTAATATGAACAATCTGGTCTATGTTCATCCTATATTTATAAACAAATGCTAAAGTATATTGATAATTATTTAAGCAGCGAACGACCTTCATATTACCAAAGTAGAAAACTCTCTTTTTGTTTTACACTTCTGAAAATAGAAACTGATTAACTGAATATCGTTTTTCTCCTGCAAGTGTATATTTGTGATAAATTCAAGTGTATATTTGGTAAAGCTTATATCGTGTTGATAAATAAACCTTATATCTTATTTTCTAGCTACCAGAGTCTTCTAAGATTCTGCCCAACCCTAATAATTTTAAACGCTTTTCATAAGCCATCTGAAGATTCTGACCAGTAGCACGAATAAGCATGGAAGAGATAATATCTGCAACATATGTAGAGGCAATGTTTCGACATATCCACAAACTTTAAATTTAAAAACAAACAAGATATGTTTAACGTTATAAATTCATAATACTATTGTAAAAAAAATCATAATACTAACATTTGAAAGAGTAAAAATCCAGTGGCACTAAAAGTTTTTTTTAGTTTTAGAACTGACTGGACAATTTGACATATGACAAATAATCTTTCCTATTTTTGTATTTTCCAGAATTGATTAACATGATATTTGTTTCATTTTCAGCATTCCAAATCATCTCACTCCTTGCCAAGTCCAGCTGAATCACCGGCTACCATTGAGTCAGAAACAGAGAATGATAGTTCTAGTCGGAAGCTACCAAATGAATGATACCGCAAATGCTGTTTAGCACTAGCCATGCCCTGTTTTGCAAGTTAACTATCATTTCTATTATTATTTTTATTATTATTATTATTATTCCCCTCATTGTTGGTGCTATATTTACTGGCCATCATCTTCGGTTATTATTTACTGCTATATTTAACAAATTGTGTTCTTCTAATTAGTGTTCTGCCAGCTTTGTCTAAAATGACACTTGAAGAAGCTCTGTCTCTTGCCTGTACATTCAGTCACTATCTTAGTTTGATGGGAATTGCAGAAACACATCACAGGTGATTTGCTGATTGTTTGGGTTTTCAGTTCAATTCAATTGCTTTCCCATTCATGGGAACATTTTTCATTTCTTGGGATAAGATGTTAATGAATATTCAAATAGTGATGGATTGATTAGTGAAATGTCTGCATGTGAGCTGCTAGTGTATTTTCAAACACTTCTACACAAAATTAATTTTCCCTTAAGCATTTGGCAACAAAAGCTAATGAACCTTGAAGTGTGAAATTAGTTAGAAGGGCAACTCTTTTATGAAGAAATTAGAACCATGCATGTAGACTAGGGTTCAACATATATCATTATTTATAATCTTAAATATTTAATGAGTATTGTGGGTCCTCTGATGATCTGAAATGTAATTAATCTAAATTGGTTCCAATATAATTAGTCTTAACCTAGGTTCTAAAATCTAGTTAATCTGCTCGTATTCCCAATGCACACCAACTGAGAATATGTATTGTCCATTGTAAAATAAGAATTATAATCTAGTTAATCTGCTCGTATTCCCAATTAGAAGGATTTAAATACAACAAAACTGATTTATTTTCATTTGCAGGAATGGAGGAGTGAAGTTTTAGTCCACTTATCTAAAGAAGCTGCAACAATCATTCAGAGATTTGTTATTACACATTAATCATCATTGATTTATGTTGGGCAGCTGTTCTAATTTTCGTTATGGATCGTGTTGAGACTTGAGATATTAGCACATAATTTTAGTATTTTCTACTTTGGATTAAATATTGTGTTTTAGTTTTGGTATAAGTTTATGTAATTGATGTCGTATGCTACTTTTGACATATTAAAATAGATTTTTTTTTATATTTGGTAGGCCCCTTTTGTCAATGCTTCATACGGAATTGTCTAAAAAAGTTTATTGTTGTGAATTTTCGGTATAAAACGGTATGGGTAAATACCATACCGAATTTTCGGTATACCAAAATTCGGTATACCGAAAGTTTCGGTATGGTAACGGTATGAGATTTACAAATACCGGTATTTCGGTACGGTATGCGGTATGCCATACCGAACCAGCCCTAACTAAATCTGATTATATTCAACCTGCACAATAAACTGTACTACGGAGTAATAAATAGGTCAAGTAAATGATGTCACATGCAAGTTGCAACTTTGGTAAATGATGTCACTTGTAATGCGTCTTTAAGATAATTAAAGGATTTAAAGTATGGGACTATGGGGCAGATTGGTAGATAGACAATTTTGCTCTAGTTGTGTGGTGCACATCTCCACACATAAATACATTTTTTTTTTTTGGTCGCCCACACATAAATACTTTACTTTTTACATTTTAATATACTACGGGGTATTTGTTTTTATTTCTATTGAAAAAGAACTTAGGAGTAGGAAACTAACACATTTATATTTCAAAAAAATCTTTATTTCAGTAAATACCTAGTGTTAAAGGAAATTACATGTTTTTTTAATTTTTTCTTCTTCAAAAAATTCTTTATTCTTTTAAAAGGAAATTACATGTATACATGTGCTCTCATAATAGATAGAATATACATTAGAGTGTTATGTGTATTGCGTTAACGAATACACATTTATCCTTGTTTAAAGGGAGCATTTGTGAAACGAATACACACACTTCCGATTACCCTGTTACAGGTTATCGATACGAATATCATTATATCTACAACTGTACACAATGGGGTGTTAAAGAAAATTATATTTAATGTGCTTTCATTATAAATAGAATATATGTTAAAGTGTTATGTACTTCGTAAGTCCATGTATTATAAGATCTCAATTAATCAGTATTTAAAAGGAGCATTTGTGTAATGAATACACACATTTCTCATTACCCTATCACACTTAACTTGTTTTTGCATTATTGAGTAATAACTATCAGTCTATCACTCTCACTTATTCTTTTACGTGCATAATTATTAGAGTGTTATGTGTATTGCGTTAACGAATACACTTTTATCCTTATTTAAAGGGAGCATTTGTGAAACGAATACACACACTTCCGATTACCCTGTTACAGGTTATCGATACGAATATCATTATATCTACAACTGTACACAATGGGGTGTTAAAGAAAATTATATTTAGTGTGCTTTCATTATAAATAGAATATATGTTAAAGTGTTATGTACTTCGTGAGTAAGTCCATGTATTATAAGATTTCAATTAATCAGTATTTAAAAGGAGCATTTGTGTAATGAATACACACATTTCTCATTACCCTATCACACTTAGCTTGTTTTTGCATTATTGAGTAATAACTATCACTCTCACTTACTCTTTTACGTGCATAATTATTTCAAAGTTTCGAATTAAATGATAACGCAAAAATCATTACTATTATTATAATAATTCTGACTTGAATACAATACTTTAAAAGTAGCTTGAATATGTCTTGTTTAGTCTTAATTATTTTTTTTACCAAAAGAAATTAATTCATTTCATCATTAATAATATGCAAGATACAATGAGGAACAACAATAAAATCTCTGGACAAAAACATAATTAGTAGATACCTTAGCAAGAACATGAGCATTACTATTAATTTATTACTATTAGTTTGTCGTCTAGCGAAAACAACAGAAAACCCGTTGTTAGAGCTTATTTAAGGATCATATAATTTAGGATAATTCTTGTAGAACACACCATTTTGATGTACTTACTTTTATAGTGTAGCCTTTTTTTGTCTGTATACACATAACATGTTGGATTATTTTTGTATTTTGTATAACTAAACATGAATTTAAAGAGTTCTGGATTTTTTTAGGTCCTCAATTAATAGGCTAGTAATTAAACGATTTCTTTTTGTAGTTAAACTGTTGGAAACGAATGCTGACAAAGAATCGGACACTCCAATGCTAACACCAAAACATATTCGATTTTCAATTAAATACTGTCCATCTTCACCATCTTCGCCCCACCTTTTCTTCTCCCCTCCGCCGGTGGAAGCCTGCCGCCGTTCTGTCCTTCCCTCTTCGCCGGTGGCTGAATCGAAGTGAGGATGATTTCGATTCGGTTTCCCATCAGGCGCCCATTGTCGTGTCTGGACACGCTACCGCTGCATTCGTGGTCACTCAATTTCTGCTCACTCTCTTCCTCAGCTCACTCCTCCTCCGCCGCTGCCACCGAAGCCGATAGATGCATCAGGGAAGGCCCCAGGCACGACTGGACCAGACCTCAGATAAAGTCCATTTATGACTCCCCGCTTCTCGATCTCCTCTTTCATGGCGTCTGTTCCTTCCCTCTTTTTTCTCTATGTTCGCAGATGCATTGTTCGTTTTCAATTTACCTTTTTGTTCGTCTTTATGTTTGAGCAGGCTCAAGTCCATAGGCACGCTCACAACTTCCGTGAGGTACAACAGTGCACTCTGTTGTCTATTAAGACTGGAGGTTGTAGCGAGGACTGCGCTTACTGTCCTCAATCCTCCAGATACGGAACTGGTGTGAAAGCCGAAAAACTCATGGGAAAGGATTCCGTTCTGGATGCAGCACAGAAGGTGCATTATTTAATTTTCATCTGCATTCTTTTTTGTTTTCTCTACAGGTTTTTGCATCTAAAGTTAATTCGTGTTATCATTGAGGATTGAATTGTACTCTCACTACACTTTAAGACTTAAATGACATTGGAATTCTGAATACTCAAGCGTCTTTCAGGGCATGCCGGTGACACTTAGTGAACATGGTCCTCTTTTAGTACTCTGTAAATACTAGTTGATGATTTTGTGATGATATATAGTGGTAATAAAATATATTCTTCAAACAAATGCTAACCTTAACTAAATATTTTGAAACTCAAGATGTGATGGATTAATGTGGTGAAACTGTGATTTGGATGGCCTTTTACAATGCTATGATGTTCTTAAGATAAAATCTGCTGTTATAAACAGGTGTTAACTCACCTTTATGCAATGACAGGCAAAAGAGGCAGGTAGTACTCGTTTTTGTATGGGTGCTGCATGGAGAGATACCATAGGAAGGAAAACAAATTTCAACCAGATCCTTGACTACGTGAAACAAATAAGGTAATGGTTATAGCTCTAGTGTATATTTAAAGTGGGCTATTGCCTTGTCGTCGGAAATCTTAGATGTGATGTTTCCAAAGAGTAACTAACCACTTCCTCACCCGCACACAAAAAGAATAATACTATACTAATACTAACACAAATAAAACAAACAAATGCTTATTGATGAAATTATATACGTTTTCAAACTGAACACTCTTCAATACTTGATGTTGATTGCAACAAGTTTTGAACATCAATCAAGTCAATCTGGTACTCACTTCAGTTTCCCCCTCTTTGAATCTGCTCTTGATCTAGCTGTACTTAACGCAATCACATCTGTTTGAGTTTGTGTTTGAAAAATGGTATGTAAAAGGAAAAGAAAGTACACAAAGTTTCATAGTGCTCTTACATTCTTTTGCACAAAGTTTAAGAATGCAATTAACACGCCTCTTGTTTTAGAGTATTTTATTAACAGGAAGGAATTGAGAATACTAATTTGGAACAACCAATAAAGAAAATGGAAAACACTAATGTGAAACAAAGGTAGTAGTTATCAATCCACTGACAAGTATGGATGATCGGCTTGAATGTATAATTATATGACTGATTTCTGCTAGTTATTCTATCTCTCTCTTCAGACCATTCAACACTAAACCACATTTATTCACTGATGTTTTTTAACTTGTCTTTGTTAAGGGGGATGGGAATGGAGGTGTGCTGCACATTAGGAATGCTGGAGAAGCAGCAAGCTTTTGAGCTCAAGAATGCTGGTCTGACGGCATATAATCATAATCTTGACACTTCTAGAGAGTATTACCCAAACGTCATAACCACAAGAACCTATGATGATCGGCTAGAAACTCTTAAGAATGTCCGTGAAGCTGGAATAAGTGTCTGTTCAGGTAACACTGGTTTTTTGAATATCAAGATGTGAGCATCCACAATATGCATGTGTGGTATGCTTGTGCTTATATGATTTTGGTTTTCAATTTGATATTCCACCTCATATTTTACATTGTAGTAGTTGATATCCTCTCAAACATTGGTTGAAATAATCCTTGATTGTGGACGAGACTTCAATTTCGTGGTCTCAACTTGGCCGCCTAAATAGCATCTTGAGCTAAAAATTAGTACCATTACTATCGAAAAAAGCTGGCATGCTAAAATAAACCTCACATCTCTCATGATATGTGATTATTCATTCAACTTTTTAAGGTGTTACTTTTGATAAAATTCTAAAATATAAATTTAATTGCTGCAATCAGGAGGAATAATTGGTCTTGGTGAGGCCGATGATGACCGGATTGGTTTGTTACATACATTGGCAACACTTCCTGCACACCCTGAGAGTGTACCCATTAACGCACTAGTTCCAGTGAAAGGAACACCTCTTGAAAACCAGAAGGTATCTATCGATTTATAAAGTTCTTTTCCTGCTGTTCTCATACAAGCAGTACAGAGTTATCATCTGTTAGAAACTGTCTCACTTCCTGCTATGAATTATCAGAAAATATTCAGTATGGTAGTATGTTACCCTGACTTCACAGACCTGTCAAATTATATTAACATTATCATGGAGGGCATTAATAGAAAACTGAAGTTGAATGATGTCCGTTGTTTGTAGTTGACAACGTACTCTCAAAGTTGATTTCATGATTTTTATGTTACTATAAACATAAAGTATTTCAGCAGTCACCTTTACTCCTTGAGTGTTAGTTTGGATGGAGGGTTTTGGCAGGCTATGTCTATACTCTATATCTTGATATACTTGACCATTGAGATTTTATAAAACTTGAGGAATAACTTAATAGATGATTGATCACATAACATTTCAACCATCTTTTTTTCGTTTTTAGAAACATGTTATCTACTCCGGGTATAAGATATAAAGTAACCCTTAGCCTTCTGGATATTTGAAGTTAGAACACAAAATGTGTTATTATGAAATGTGAATAGACATGATTAGTGTATACACTAGTTTCTAGAGTTTTTCTAACACATCCTCTTTAAATGGATGCTTTCAGCCTGTGGAAATATGGGACATGATTAGGATGATAGCAACTGCCCGCATTATAATGCCAAAAGCAATGGTTAGGCTTTCAGCTGGCAGAGTTCGGTTTTCCATACCGGAACAAACCCTGTGTTTTCTTGCTGGTGCTAATTCAATCTTTACTGGAGAGAAATTGCTGACGACCCCCAACAACGATTATGATGCTGACCAACTTATGTTTAAAATGCTTGGGCTTACCCCAAAACCTCCAAAGTTTTCCGAATATGCAGCAAAGGATTCCGAAGCAGAAAGCATTGAAGAAGAAGCACTTTCTGGTTAAGGCTGAGATTGCTGCACATGTAAGAATTATTATTCTTTGTAGCAAAAAGAAAAAAATAATGTTGAAACCTCTGTCAAGTCTCACCTATGCATATTATTATTCTAAACTAAAATTGTCCAAAATCTTGTACGAGTAATTTTTATGTAGTAATATTGGGCTGATCTACTTGCATGATTTGAGAAAATATTACGTAGCATTCTTTTACACCTCAGCGGTATGGATAAATTATTAGGTGCTCATGGAATTCAACTAACTGGCCCAGGAATACAAATTGTTTTGCTCTATCTTATAAAAGCCCGATCACAAATTGACCAGGCCAACTAACTGAGTCATGTGGACTTGGACACTTGGTGGATTAACTTGGTCAACCGCACATATAATTGAACATCAACCTAAAATGAAAAGTAACTATTCTTTCTGTATTATAATAATGGTACTAGTAATACTTCATTATCATAAAAAATACACATGACATTTCAGATTACGGTTTTTATTCCTTTCTGTACCAATGCTATTTTTCTAGTTATTTGGTTTTTGCATCTTAAAATTAGATGGATGAATCATGAAAATATCACATTTTTTAAAATCATTTATGAAAGTGGTAAAATTTTAACCAAAGAATCATTCAAAACAACATTTTAAGGACATGATTAAGTGGATTTTCCAGGTTTTGACCTATTCCTACTTTCCAGCTTACTGGCACGGTTTAGTGACCAGAATACCAGATTACCACTTCTTGGTCTGGCTCAGGTTTAGTCCGATTGTTTAACATTAGCATAAATCTTTCATTCTTTGAACAAAAGTTTACCAAGAGTAGCTTGAGAGTTGAGAGTGAGATTACCACACGCGTTTGGCAATGCCCATTTTTTGTGAACCCAAGGAGCTCCCTGTGCGCACTGTGGAAGCCCTACTAGCTTACGGTTGAGTCCAACAATGAATATAGGGATGACAAAGGCTTCCATACTAGCTCAGCCCAACATGTTAGCATGTGTTGCTAATGAACTATTTCAGCAAATATCTTTATAGTTTTCAAAACAAAATAGTCCCTCCGTATTTAAAGGATCACTACATTAGGTCTTGACACAATATTTAAAGGGGAAATAATGGTGGTAATGAATAGTGTAGAAAAAGTAGGAAAGTGAAACAGTATGCAAGAGAAAATAAAAAGTAGAAAAAGTAAGAGTAATTAGGTATTTTCAAAGGAAAAAGTTACCAAAAAAGAAGTGTAACAAACTTTCAAATACATCCCAAATATTGTCGTATAAAAGTGTAACAAACTTTTAAATAGGGAGGGATAATTATTTGTTGCTTAAATCATTTCAATACCAAATCACTTCATTGTTGACCTTGTAATAACAAGATGATGGTTTGAAGAAAATCTACATTATTGTCCCACATGTGATACTGTGGTTGGGACAAAGGGAGGACAAAAAACTGATGGTATCAGGTGGTAGTAGGGTTGTTATGACTTTTACTTGATTGACAACAGTTCATGACGGCAACCACTTCTCTTTAGAAAAGTCGCATGGTAAGCATGCCTTTGCATTTTTTCTTCTGGTTTTTCCCTTTCTTTGAATCCGAATTTCTTTCTAATGTCACATTATTATTGAAACATGATAAGACTAATGCTCGCCACATATTAGAATCGAAATATTTTACCGAAGACATTCTTAAGCAACAAATTCCAAGAACATTCCTTACTTAAATGAAAGTAAAATATAGACAAGTGTATAAATTAAAATATAGAATCATCATTGTTTTATACTTTTCTTAGAATAAAAAAATGTTATATTTTAGAAACCATACATAATTACTTCTATTTCACTCAAAGGTGGAGACAGGGGAAGGTTTGAGCAGGCATCGGCCTCTCCCAAGAAAATTTATAAAAAACTTATATAAGTGTTTATATGTAGTAAAAAAATAGGGATAATTTGACTTTGGACCTCACTTTTTGGGTGATATTGGACTTTGCACCCTATTTTAAAAAATCTTTGACTTTGCACCCTATCATATAACATTTGTAAAGGAAAATTTCTAAATGGGGTGCAAAGTCAAAGGATTTTGAATTAAAATGAGGTGCAAAATCAAAGTTTTTTTAAAATGGGGTGCAAAGTCTAATATCATTCAAAAATGGGGTGCAAAGTCAAATCCCACTAAAAAATATAGTGAAATTTTAAGCTTTGTCTCCCACAACATAAATTCTTTAAGCCTCTACCCCCTCATAACCTACTATTTCTGGCTCTGTCACTTGTTTCACTATTTTTACACATGATCTTTTTACTCCTTTTTGAATCAATCTTTTTAATTTATTAATCGAAATTTAGATATAAAATAAAATTATTAGGTGTTGAATAAGTCCACGTTTCATATAGTATATTCCTATTGTTCATGTTTCTCAAACATGAACAGACATTTTTTATTTTCACATCAGGACTCATTTATATTTTATTCCCTACTTTGGTTTTTTGTTTTGTTATTTTGTCATTTTGTCATTTTAAAGATGTTGTTGGGTTCAAATCGTCTTTTTTCTTGTCATAGATAGATAACCCATTTGTATCCCCTTAGGCTAACTTAGCACATATTTTTTATAGTTAAATTCACAAATCCTTACTTTTTTTAAATACACATCATTCATGTGATAATTTTATTTTTACCAATAGTTATGATTTTAAAAATCAAACATTCCGATCTAAAAATAGATAAATTCAGAGTTTAATTTTTTAGTAACTTCAGATCTATTTTTGAAAAAACTAATTCAAAGAATCAAAGATGTAGATAAAAATATTCTAACCATGAGATTATAATTTTAACACTTGGATTTATTTAAGAAAAAATTTTAACCTAAAAATATGAAACTAATAATTAATTTTTTTTAAAAAAATTATATATATATATATATATATATATATATATTATATTGATGTCAAATTAAAATAATTTATTTTTTTAAAAAATCATGAATTTTGATATATATTTTATATAAAATTAAAATATAAAATAAAAAATTGTAACACTTCCAATTAAGTTGAGGATTTTATTTAAAGCGGGGTTCATGCGTCAGTTTTGCTCATGCACACTCCGGTTCTTCTCCTCACGCAGCACATCCATCCACTTCTTTTAAAGGGATGAGGGCCCAGCTGCTTTCTCTCTTGCCAACTAGAGTCAATTGGCCGCTCACAAATCGCTCCCCATGATTTCCTGTATTGCCTATGAGACCTCCGCATACATTTTTTACTCTCTGTTGCAGCTGTTTTGGGGGTGAAAACCTCAGTTTTGGGGTTTTCACTCCCCCATTGCAATCAGCCTTAAAATAATAATATATGGTTCATACTTATTTTATCTTTGTAAATAAATAGTACGGAGTACTAGTTATATATACTCCATCTGATCCATTGAGCTTTTCCAACTTTTCTTTTTTGACTAACTGAAAATTTTATCACTTTTCTATTAAATAATTAATTTTTGATTCTATTGTTTTCTCTCTTTTCTATGTACAAAGTTTAACTATACAATTTTTTTTCATGTTTAACCTAACTCAAAGTTGAAAAAGTACATGTAAGTTTATGACAACAATCCAACCATTGAGATCAGCCATGTGTCAAAAGTCAAAGGGACCCTTGAGTTAAAATAGTATCTATCCCATTTGAAACAGTCTTAATGTAACCAACCTTAGATTACCACATTAACTATGTATCTCAATGCGAAGTGGTTGCGTCCCGTCTTTCTTCATTTGTTTTCTATTTCCTCTATCTTCTTTTACTTGCTCCTAAGAAACGAACAATATTGATCATTTTTGGAAATGTCAATATAGGAACTTTCCTCACCAGACCTTATATATGTTCAAGTGTCTGTATATAAGGTCTTATTGAGAATCGGATATACAGAAAATAGTAACATATTCAGACAAATAATCGGAAAACACAATCAAGTCCACACCATACATTTAATTATTTGAGTGACATATGTGTACTGGTGACGAAAGTTCCTATATGCTACCCACTTGAACATATTGGACTACTTAAGGATTAGCTACGGGCTAAAGGAGGGAGGAGAACATTTGCCTACAACCTCACTTACTATATTCCTCTCGTTTCCTACTCTTCTCTTACACACATGTATTTATTCTTCCTAGTTCATGTCTCCATTAATAGCTTCCCTAGAAGCTCCATATGATTTGTACATGTAACCTCTCCCACACAACTATAATAAAAGCTCCTGCCTCCCGTTGGCATGATACCGCCCAAAAAAGCCCGTAATTTTCACCGATTTGGTTTCCACGATAAAATACTATGTCCGCTCTAATTTCTTTATTTACTCGATTGGGATAATTAGTTCCATCAGTAATAAAAGTCCGAGGGATAAGTTGAAAAATATGAAAACATTTTCATTTGAAAAGGTCAAATTTCACTAATAACGGAAAGTCGATTTTAGTTAAAAATTTGCATAAAAACTTTAGCTAAAAGCCTAAAGTAGAAATCCCTTTTGTTTTGGGACGAGGTGTACAATTTCTGAGTTGAACTTTTCATAGCCACTTGTACAGTTGTACGTCTACCTATAATTTGATTGTTGAGTAACCAATGATAATAAAAAAAGAACACCAAGTAATTAGTTTATTTTAATCACTCAAAACGAGTAACATATAGGAGTAAATAAAAGATGAAAAGTGTTAAGACCCGGGGTTCTATCTTAAAAGGTCAACCTGATAGGAGGAGTAACTCAGATCTTGATATAGCATATTGTTGATTCAAACTTTTCCGGTGTTGGACTCTAACACCCCTCCTCCGACCAGACAATTTGTCTAGATCGTGCCGTCATTCATTTTTTCGTCTGTTCATCATTGACATTTTTTTTACAATCGTGAAGCCATTTTTCATAAGGGGTCCACACCATGGATCGATTTGGCTCTGATATCATGTTAAGACCCGTGGTTCCATCCTAAAAGGTCAACCTGATAGGAGTAGTGACCCAGATCTTAATATAGCATATTGTTGATTCAAACTTTTCCGGTGTGAGACTCTAACAAAAGGTGTGAATGTGTGATAATAGGATTTCAATTCATCATTTATTTATTTAAAAAGTACAGCACACAAAATATTGAGACACAGTATAATAATTTATATACTTCCTAAGCAAAAATACGGTAATGCAAAATACAATATTTGGGGGATGAGGTTTTGAAAGAGACAAGGTTCAACACTCGAAATTACACGTATTTGTGTATATATATTTATACAATAATACAAAACCACTAAATCACATACTTTAATTCAACACTGATTTCTCTTCTGAGTGCTACATAATTTGACAGTGCAAACAGTTGCTTGCGCCCAATATTTAAGCCTCGCTTTCACCTCCTCTGGATCATCACCTATAACAACACACAAAAAAACAAAAACCCAACTTAGCAAACAAGGCATCCCAAACAAGTAATCCCTTAGGTTGGTTAGGTTAGCTGTTCATCTAAAACCTACTCCATACTACTGATTTTTTCCTACTATGGTGACTCTCATAGTGTTTATATCAATCATGCTTCGTGTATACGTCACTTCACACGCCAGTCGAATTGTTTGTGCATAAACATTTTTGTGTGAAGAGAACCATTTTTCTTAATAACAAATTTTTTGTCTGTGCAAACATTTTTGTCGGTGTGAAACGCAATTCGCTTCACAAAAAGAAAAGAAATTGTGTGCACAAACAATTCGACCGGTATGTAAAATGATGTGCACAAAAATGTGTAAAAGGAGCATTTTGCCGTGTTTATGTATATGACTCCATTTGGTAACCCTTTCCTGCTTATCAATCTATCAATCAACTTAGAGCACACATTAAACTTTTTATTTCTCCTTATAAATTGTGCAATAATGCAGAGTATATAATCAATTTAAATTAAGTTGAAGTTAGTCTTCAAGCATAATTGGTCGAAGAAGACTATTATAGCTTTTCCGCACAAGTATTTCTTCATTTTAGTAATAAAATACTTCCTCATCTCACAAATTTGTCATATTGAATGGTAAATGCTACGCATTTTTCTAAGACGCTAGTCGTTGTAGCATCTCAAAAAATGATCTTTTATTTTAAAAAAGCTTTTAGAAGTTTGTATGCCAAACATAAACTAGAAGCTTTTGATGGCTTTTTAAATAATACAAAAGGTAAAAGGTAGAGATTTATACCTACCAAACATACACTATATATTTGATACTCCGTATATTTGATGGGATTTTACCAATTCCTTTGCATTTCTTAAGGAGTTGTTTGATCTTGGTGTTTCAGTTAAATGAAAAACAGCCATAGTTTACATGTAGCGCTTGACAATTTTTCTTTCAATGTGGAATTATCAAAACTTTGCACCAAAGTAAAAAGAAAAAAGAGCCCCGCCAACTGTGAAATACAATGAAACATATGAACTCTAGTCCAAAAGCAATTTAAGTGGTCTTGAATAAAAGATTATTTTTGAAGGATTGAAAGTTTTTTTTTTTGTTTTTTTTTTTATAACAAAACCAGTAATCAATTTTCAACGAAAGCTTGGGCTATTCAATATAGCTACGAGAGAAAATGAAACTTTTTTTTCCTAGGAAAAGTCAAAATTCTTTGAGACTTACTTCTTGTCTTCTTCCCTAACGATTTTACAACGAGTTCTTGACAACCTTAATTACCAGTCAAATCATAAAGACTGTTTGGGAAGGAAGACATACCGGGGCTAGAAATCTTCCAATTGGCAATAGGGCTGGTAGCGGAGGAGGAAGGGGAGGCAGGATGTGCGGCGGCGGCGGCGGCGGCGCTATGGTGGTGGTCATCCTGGAGAAGGTACTTCTGGGTCATGGAATAGCAGAGCTCAAGGGCAGGCAGAGTGTTGCAGAGCTCTGGTATTTCCTCATAGTTGAAGCCAAACCCGAGATCCAAACAGCCCTTAAGCTCCTCCAGATCATCATCAGTCAAGCTCTTTGACCTCCCAAGCTCATCATCTTCTTCAACTACTGATGCCGCGGCTCCTCTCTTAGCATACCCTTCAACGAATACTTTCTTCTTCTTCTTGCTCTGGAGCTTCTTCTTCTTCTCCTCCATTAAATTCATGGAAGACCCATACCTGGCTGGGATTCCCTTTGAAACTGGGGAGTGGGAATCACTAACACTGTCAGATGATAAACTTGATTCTATGTTTTCTTTGGACCATCTTTCCATTTCTCCCTGCCTCCCTCCCCTCCTCCCACCCTTTATATATATAGTGCTTCCCTCCAGTAATAATTTGCAAAAGTACTCCCTCAACTACACTTAGAATCAATATCACACTAAAACAAACTAGATTAGATCAGACCATACCAAATTTGACTTTCGTAGTTATAAAATACACAGAGATCAAACGTTTACCGGAATAGACCATACTAGTTTACACCAGACCAGACCGATTCAGACCAAACTAGAGTTAAACAAAACAAACCAGCAAATTCTAGTCCAAGTAAAAACATCCTTACACAACTGTAATTTTTGTCCCGAAAACTTTATTAATTTTTGTTGAAAAGTGCTCTTGAAAAGTGCTCTATTAATAATTTATGATTCTACTTTTTTTTCTTTGTACAACTCTCAATTATATAACTTTTTCCTTTCAACTCTCAATTTACTCACAAATACAAATTTATAATTTATAATCCTTTTGGTTTAACAAAGACTCAGGGGTGGAGACAGGGAGGGGCTGGCGGTGGTCATGGCCCCTGCAAGAAAAAAAATCTTAAGTTTATATTATGTATAAATACTTTTAATGTGTAGAAAATATGTTGATATTTTAAACTTTGGCCCTGCAATGTAAAATTGTTAAGGACCGGTCCCTTTAACCCTAAATTTTTGGCTCCGCCAGTGCAAAGACTACCCTCACCATTCCTCTAATTTTTGACAACTTTATTTAACCATTCCAAGGAAATTTATCATTTTCTTTTAGGTAACAATTTTGTGATTGATGTATTCCCCTTCATCTACACAAATTTCAATCTCAAGTTTTTGTTTTATTTTTCTAAGTTTTATGAGACAATTAAAAGTAAGTAACAAATGGAGACATCAAAATTATGAGATTTAATTCATAAAACGACATTATGACAAGTGGAGTTCGGATCATGTGAATCCTGCTTTGTATACATATATACTTTATACTTGATATATTGTAGAATTACCCTTAAGGGTGGGGTGTCTATCCTAATGGGAATTTAATGCACTCAACCGCCTCGTGAAGTATAAATTCGGTGCATTAGTCTCATATGATTTTTGAAATCACTTTTCTTAATAACATGATTGAATATGCAAGTAACTTTGTCAAAATTTCAAAGTTATACAAAAAAGTAAATTATTTTTCATTTTTTGGCACTTAAATTTGTTCATAAAAGGGGTTTTGCACATCAATAACCATACCACAGGAGAGTTTGAGTGATTGACGCATTTTTTTAAATCATAGGGGGTTAATACGTCGAATTTATATTTCACGAGAAAATTTGATGCATTGAAAACATCTTAATGGTGATGGATGAAGCCATGAAGGGGTTGGTGATGAAATTTGAACTAAGCTCAGAGAAATATGATATTTTTACATTTTCTGTTACATTCTTATATGATTTGCATTTATTGGGTATTGAATAGTTATGTAACTTTCAACACTGATCATGAGCGTATAGTACACAATTTTTTCTACACTTCATGTAACCATAGACTTACTGATTTTGGAGTAGACATATATGTACGTGACTACGCAAGAGTAAGTGTATAGTAAATGCATGTGTGTATACTTAAGGCCCCACACAACCCCACCCAACCCCATTATATATATAGTAAATGTTTATATGTATAGATATATCATTGTTGTACATTTGTGATATACTCCCTCCGTTCCCAAAAATACTTCTCACTTTCCTTTTTGGGCCGTTCCCAAAAATTCTTCCCACTTTCCCTTTTTGGACAATTTGTGTGGCTCACATTCATTTTACATTTTTCTCACACAACCACAACCACACATTTCCACTTTATTCCACTTTCTTAATAGGCGTGCCAATTCAAACCGGAAAGAATTTTTGGGATCGGAGGGAGTAAGGTTTTAAGCGACCACATTCAAGTAGATTCTGTCTTGGTCCGCTTAGAGGAGTGGCCAAGACTTTACGGCTGGCGAAGGTTTGAATCCTGTGTAAGTTCATTTTTATGAACTTATTTTTTGTCCTTTTGAAGCTTTATTTATATTTAGTTCAAATATCCAAATTAATTTAAAGTAGTATTTTTAGTCTAACTAATAAATGTTGCATAATTTGAATCATATTTTTCACACTAACTATTGAAACAAACTTGTTTATTTCCAACTTAAATAAATTACTTATAGTTACATATTTCATTCTTTTCTCACATTTCTATTAAATTATTGATTGTTCAATTAATATTTATTTCTAAAAAAATGTGTGATAGTTTTATAGTGGAGGTGTTTGGAAAATGATGTTTTAGCAAAAAAGCAATAGCGGTTTTGAACTCTTTTAGCGTTTCCAATAAGTGAACTTTGTTTGGTAAATAGTTCGTCGGCCCTAGCGTTTTTGAACGAAACCGCTAAAATGGAAACGCTGCAAATATGAGAGTTTGGATTATCGCTTTGAAATATGACATTTTCTACTCATTTTTAGCCAAACATCTAAATTACCAAACATTTTCTGACAACCCCTCCAACTTAATCCGCTAGCCAAACCTGTTGTCCGAATCCGCTATTGAAAACCCGCTAATATAATTCGTTATCTGCTAACCGTTAAATGGTCAAACACGTCCAGTGTGAATCTGCCCCCGCTGAACGAATTTTCTTGATACACCACTGCCATTAACACTCATTTTCTTCATTCTATCTCTTCTATTCCGCCATGAACTTTCATGGTATCATTGTTATAGTCACATTGTGCAAACATCTTTGTTGTATCGGCTCAGCCCAATTTTCGTGCACCCCTGGCTATGGCTACGTAACTTACCATTGTGTAATGTGCATTGTCCAATTTCATAGTGCATTTTTAATTAACAAAAGACATTTCCATGAGAAATGAGATTGAGTCCGGCGCATTCGAGATAAGATCTAATTCTCAAATCAAGTACAAATAGAATCCTAATGATTTAATTAGAAAAAAGGGAGAGTAATGGTACTTCACAAATAAGTGAAGGTATTCCCCCCAAAAAATAAGTGAAGGTACCTTACCTACATTACATATGATTGTATTGCAATACTTTAATTGAATCAAACATTCAAAATATGTGATAAAATATATAGACTCGGACCTCGGTCTTACGACTATTGTTGAAACCCAGAAGATAAAGATTGAATTCATGGATCTCACCACGGTCTGGTACTCAGGTCACATCAGCCAGGCCCCCCTCGGCTGATCACCTAGGCCTATTCATCTCAGTCTGGTCACCTCAGGCTGGTCACCTCGACCAAGACCTTCAACGAATAACTCTACCTTGTACTTAGCATAATAAACATATGTAAATAGCTCATTAGTGGCCCATTATTGTAATTGGGCCTCCCAGGCCCAAGACCTGGGAGCCTCACTCACTTTTTTCTCTATAAATACTCTCTTTGAGAGTCATGTAAAGCGTGTGAATTCATTTACTCCCTTCAGTCCCAAATAAACTTCACACTTTCCGTTTTAGGTAGGTCCAAAATAAATATCACACTTCTACTTTTGACAACTTTTTAATATAAAGTTACTCTTATACCTTTACTTTATTGTCTACTTTACACTACTTTTTCTCTCTCACTACACTTTATCTGCTTTTTGGGAGGCATAATGAGAAAGTCAAAACAAAAATTCCACTTTATTAAAAACCGTTAAGTCAAACAATGAAATTCTTTTGAGCTTGGAGGTAGTATATAAATCACTTCTCTCTAGAACTAAGGTACATAGATTTAATTGAATTCGCCTTAAAATGGCATAAAGTTAATTTCCTAACAAAGCAATTAAACTCTTTATGCCGTAGTGAGTAATTTGTCGCATATACACAGGAAAGACCATTTTTTCTAAGCATCTAAATACCCTATATAGACACATGCATTGCTATCTGTCCGTACAAGTGATGCTCTATTGTAATTTGTAGGCCGGCACCAAGCTTTGGAGACCCGAATTAGGAGGGATCGGATTGATTCCCCAGAAATAAATAAATTTGCCGACAAACATTTTTAGTGAGCAAAATAAATAAATAAATAAATAAATCCATCCGTACATTATCAGCATATTTCATATGCACTTTTCTGCAATGACGACGTCAGTATGAGTGCGAATTACTCCATTTCTTTTCAAACCAAATGATCCTCTAATCCTAATGAACCATTTCGTATATATATAAAAAGGAATATTATAGAATTTACGTGGGAAAAGAATATTAACGTATTATGCATTTTAAATATATTTTTTAGTTTGATAAACGGGAATATAGTTGAAGAAATTATATCTAATTATCTAATGCAACCTTGAACCTTAGATTGTTTTGTCCTGGAAGCTGGTCAAGAAACAAATATAATATTACATGGGGAAAATGTATCATTTCAATACACCAAATTACAGACCAGAACTAGTTTAGGTAAGAGATTGATTATAAATGCTTGTTCTCTTATTAAAATCTATGGTTCCATACTTCCATCAAATAGGAGATATGGGTAGCCTAAAGTCGTATATGACCAATTGACCGGTACGTGTTAGATAGACTTAAGTTTATTATACGTGGAGTATCAAATATCAGATCATTTTAAACTTTGATATTTACAAAATACACAAAGATGAAACATTTAAACATCTACTTAATTAGATGACGTTTGAACAAAGGAATGACGGCGTGATGTTCAAGTTTGAACAACGTTGCCTTGAACATTTTTATATCCTTCTATACGAATTGTTAATTAACTTAACCCTTTTTTGTTAACTATAAGTTAATAAATTAATAATCAATGATAACAATAATGATATTATTCGGTGCCGATCGAGTTTTCCGTCATTGACCCGTGACCCGATCTTTCAATCTGGTCCGACTTTTACTACATAGGAGAAAGTTCATTCAAATAATTGTCAAATGATAAAAGAGTTGACATGCTATATGATAGACAACTAGGGGTGGGGTGTATGTCTTCACCCTTGATTTCCGCCTATCATACCTCAGATAGAGTTTTTATGCATCTAGCATTCTAGCCCATCCACTTTCCCACAACGGATAATTT